TTGGTGGGTTTGGGTTTATACTTCTACAAGGAGCAAAAGGGTTCGGGCTGGGATTGTTCAAACTTGGCTTATCGGAATCAAGTGACAGCCTTGGAAGATCCTCGTGTTCGTGGCCGGAAGATGAAGAAGAAAGCGATAACCTTGATGAAGATATGGAGACTGACTCACAATCCGAGTCTTTCAACAAGGGAAGGCTTAATGAAGAGTCCGCCCAGGACGCAGTGGAAGAGGAGGAGGAAGAGGAAGATTTCGAGCTTCTATGAAGAAAATGCTTGAGAGATTTCGAGTTATTATTAGATAACAATGAGATTTTGCTTTGAGACTCGGATTTGGGAGGTTGATTGGTGCTATGGGAGAACTTTTTAAGACCCAGAAGTTCCCTCCACCTACTGGAACACCTTGGAGCTTTAGGAGAAAACAAGTAAGGATCCGTGCCAGAAATCTCCATTTCTATTCTACGGCAAGATTTGGCTGTTTCGGGGGACCTGATCTCAGACAAAACATTCACAGGAGGATGCGGTTTCACAGTTGAGAAATGCAAAGGCACGAGCTTACCATCAGAAAAAAGCTCATCAGCTGGAAGCATGGTGACAGGATCTTCAAGCCGGAACTCAAAGTCACTAGCTGGGTTATCTTGGATCTCTGGCGGATCAGAGGCAGGAAGAGGATCTGCAGAAGATGTATCAGTTGTAGACTTGGGCCTAGACTTGGACGACTCCTCTTCTCGGCTGAAGGACATCCTGGGACTCAACCAACCGTAAGAAGAGTAACTTGTTGTAGGCTGGAAACTCTCCGGCGAGACACCTATGTTGTTAACACAAGCTGAAGCCATGAGAAACCAAACAAAGAAAGCACCCTGTTAAAAAAAAAATTACATTTATATTTGGGGTCGACAAAGGAAGTAAGAGTTGAGATCTAAAGCAAGGCCGAAACGAAAGGGTTTTTGCTCGCTGCAGCTTTGGCTTTGGTTTGGCTTTGTTAGGGTTTGGGGAAGAGATCTTGTGAGTGAAAAAGCTGTAAAAAGAGCCAAGCGTACTTTTATTTATAGTATTTATAAATACATTATAGGGGTAAGCTCACGTTTTTTAGGGGTAGGGCCACGTGGCTCCATTATCTATATATTTATTTATTTTAATTTCTGAATTTGTTTCTTTCCACGTCGAAGTAGCTGTCTTCAGTTTTGCTCTCCTGAATGTTTTCTTGTTAGACTTGTTTCCTTTTCGTTATGGGTTATCCTTTCTTTTCTCGTGACCTGTGATATTTCCTTTGTTGATATTTTTAGTTCCACGACTCGGGAAACTTAATATTATGATTACGCCCTCTCACCCCTTATTTAGTATTTTCATTGTTTCCTAAATTATATACCAACACCCCCCTTTATTTTTATATTACTTCTTTTATTTTATTTTTTGTTTAATAAATAAACAAAAAAAAAGTTTAGAAATCACCCATCAAAATACTACTCTCTATCAATATTTGTACATATGAATTTGTATTAATAATTAATATACAAACAAAAGAATAGGAAGAGAGTGAGGAACGGCAAAACTAAAATCAAGAGCATGTCCAAACAAAAATTTATATTGTCAATTTTATTCAAGGATTTGGTGATCTTGTAAGATTTTAATGATTTTAAGTTATTGCTAGTTTATGCATTATTGGATTTTTTTTCTTTTAATTAGAACTTATGATAGAATCTTATATAAGATTTCGATAAAATCAAGTGTTGGTCAAGTGTAATATTGCGTTATTTCTTTTTATTATCATTATCGGATTTTTCATTTTAGTATAACCTTACATATTCATGAGGTTTGTGAAGTTATCATAGTCTTAACTTTTGAGTCCAAGGAATAGTTTTCAAAGAGTGACAATTACTTGATTAAGCCATTGAGTAAGGATTTATATTCTAAAAAGAAACTCATTGCATAGAGGATGAAAAGTTCTTCCTTGTATTTATTCCATCATAAAGGAGGACATTGATCTCAAATCCATCAACCCTCTAGCTTATTTTAACTATGAAGACACACAACTAAAAATTTTGTTGAATTTATTCCAATGCCAAGAGGACACAATTTTCCCATTCTTGGAAAGGTTTCCATGAATCAAGAACAAGACCAGGTCCCTCTAGTCTCTTCCATATCATTTAATCTAATTGCTCTTGCATCTCTGGGTTGAAATGGTTCTTCCAATTTCCAACAGCCCCAAGTCTAAAGCAGGCACTGTGTTGGATTGATTCCTGCACCATCTTTGTTCACCTTCGAGCTCTAATTAAGCCTCTCAAAAGCACTTCATCAATCTCATCTCTCTGTAGCAAATGGAGAGAAAAACCAAAGGTGTTGAGAGAGATTCAGTTTTTAATTTTTTTTATTATTATATGTATATAACAAAATTTAATCTTTGTATAATTACTTTTAATAACTCTTCATATAAAATTCTGGATCTAGCAAATATTCTTTCAAGAAATGAGGTCAATTTTTCACTTTGTCCTCTATCCTCTGATTGTAGCTCCTCTTACCTTGGAAACAACATCCTTTGGGGCATCTCGTGGTCTCTTTCCTATATTGTAAAACATGGCCAAAGAATGGTCCAGAAGGAAGCACTCCATTATAGGAGCTTGCCTATAATCTTAATAGGAATGTTGCTGGTTTAATTTGGCACTCCCAGCTTGTTTAAGAAATGCCAGAAGGACACCAAGGTGTCGTTGGGATTACAAGCCATGTAAGCAATCTTGCACTTGGGGTTTTGGATTGAACTCGGTAACGCACTACAAGGCAAATGAGTCCGAGACATCCTAGGAGATGTCATGCTAGTGAGATCAGGAAACTAATTTTATTTTCTAACTTGAGAATACAAACATGGGGAGTTTCTTTGCAAGTTGGAATGTCATCCTCTTAACCATTTTCTCCATTGCTCTGGCCTTCCATGACACTGGCAAAAATTGAATAAACACACATTATCCATGATTTGTGAAAAAACTTGATAAAAATTTGTTTATTTTTTGGGCTAATAAATTATTAATTAAGACATATACACTCATTATTAATATATATACATATTGATGCTAGTATAATCTATTTGTGAAAATACTTGATAAAACCTTGTTTTATCTTTTCCTAGACTAATAATTTTGAGTTAAAATTTCTCTTTAACCATGAGCGGAGCTAGATAATTTTTTAAAAAAGCCAAACAAACTCGATGAAAACTTTATATATCATCTAATGACTTTAGAAGATTATCTCTTACAAGTAATATACAAGAGCACAACTCACATAGAAGATGGAATGGGGTTAAAAAATTTACTTCTTGTTTTTTCAATGGCCAAACGGAATTAGGAAAGGAATCTCTCTCACTCTCTTTGTGCAAGAGTGAAAGAGAAAGTAACTTTTTAAATTCAAATGAAATGCTTCTTTACTTTGTATATTGTGCATGAAATGGATAATTTCTTAAAAAAGCTCTCGTCTTATTTTTGTTTGCTTCTTCAATTACTAATTAGCATATTAAGTTATTATGTTGGATTATTGAGATATAATATGTTATAATAAATTTAGATTTATATTAAGATTTAGTGGGTTTAGGTTAATAAGTATAAATTTCACATTATTCTGAGAGGTCAAGTTAAGAAAATTAAAAAAAATGTATATTAATTGCATATAAAACTAAAATATTTGAAGGGCGAGAAGCAATCCCTGCCTTTAACGGTAACAACATTCTATCTAGCTATATATTTTTCCATACACACTTTTTAGAGTTAATGAAAATTAATGTGTTTGTCCTAACTCTAAGGGCTGAATGGCGCCTAACCTAAGAAGGTAGGTTAACCGTGAGGACCAAACCCCTAATTCAACTCTTTGTGAATAGCTTGAGTTCGACTCTCCAATTGAACTCGGGCTCAAGATTATGACTTCCACCGTCTTCAACTTCATAAGAATTCTTATAATCCACCCTATGTTGAACTATTCAAAACCTTTCTTATATTAAGCTTTCCTTTGCAATCCCAATATTAGATTGCAAAATAATGGTTTTGCTTATGTAAAACCTTCCCCCCAATGAGGTCGAGCTTTAAGCAGTAGGGATAGGGTTCGATTTTGGATAGAAACATTAAATTTAACATATTATCTTAAAGGGGAGAGTAACGAGAAAATATAAAATTGTGAAAGTTGTATCACTTGAGAGAACCCTAAGAAGATATTAAAAAAAAAAAATCTAAAACACATACACATATATATATAATCTTGAATGTTACTACTACTAATTAATAATATTAATTTGTGACTTTTAAAAAAAAATACTAGTACTAATTTGTTACCAAACCTTTCTTTTTGTTTTTGGTTTTTTTAATGGTTTCCATCGGATAAAGATACTAAATTTAACATATTTTTAATTTTTTTAAAAAAATTATTGAGAAAAATTTAAATAAAAAGTTGATTAATTATTTTTAATTAAAATATTATTTATTATTTATTATATTTAATGATGTGACATGTTACATGACATGATGAGCATGTGGTATTTTCACTTAAGTATAAAATAATAAGTGCTATTTTAATAAATGATAATTAATCTATCATCAAAGATTTATTTGACTCAAAATGAAAATATAATAATTTGATCGAACGTAATAGAATAATAAAAATTTATTTGAATTTGTTTAAATAGCATATGAGTTTAATTGAATATAATAAAAAGATAAAATTTTATTTATTTATTTTTAATAATTCAGGAACTTTTTAAATTATTATGTCAAATTTAAATTACGTTTTGAAAAATAATAAAAAAAACTTTCAAAGAAAATTAAAGAAAAAAAAAAGAAATTGGGCCTTTCCCAAGGAGAGCACTTTGGGCCGTGTCAAGCAACGTTGAGGGAGCCCATGTTGGAAGGGGAAAATCCAGAGAAACACAGAAATAGGTTGAGCTGCGTTGGCTAAGAAAGTGGGAGGCGAGAGATGGCGAAGCAGCGCAAGCATTCATGCGACAGCGCAGCTGAAACCTTGGAATGGATCAAAGCCATTGTAGATTTCGTTAAACCTTACTCTTTCTTAATCAATGCTCACGTTGTCAATTTCTTCAAGGTTGGTTGAAATTAAAAATTAAAAAAAAAACCACTTTTCTTTCTTAATTTACATTTATTTATTTATTTCAGGATAGGCTATGGGAAGCTGTTGACAAGGAATGGATTGAATGTCTTAGTAAAGAAGCTGTGGAAAATCTTCTCCTCATTCCTTCTGGAGTTGTCCAGGTAACATATTTTTCCT